CTCACAATATGTATCACTTCTGAAATTTATGAAATTAATAAAAGTTAGCTGATAGCATTTGTATAAAGTAAAAAAAATAAAAATAAAAATAAAAAAAAATAAAAAAAATAAAAAAAAATAATCTTAGTATAGTAGTTAAGTTGCCAAACTACAATATAATAGGTTTAAAATTCAAATTTTATTATTAATAAATTTGAAGAATTTTCTAGATCATATGATATATTATAGTAAATTTTGTTCATTTTTAAGAATATACCTTTGTAAATTAAATTGTATTAAATTGATTTAAACTTAAAAGTATAATATAATATTATATAAAAAATCTTAATAAAATATACAAGTAAAGAATTTGTATAGTAGAAATTTCATATTAATGAAGTAATATAGTCTCTTTACAGAATTATATTAGTTAAAGTCTAATTTAAAAAGAAAACTTAATCTAATAAAAGTAGAAGATTTTGAGATTATCTAATAGAAAGTAAAATAACTAGCTAAATATTAGAAAAAAACTAAATTGACTAACTGATAAAGAATTATAGTAAAACTTGAAGTTAAGGTCTAGTAATCTTAGTATAGTAGTTAGATTGCCAAACTACTATACAGAGGTTTAGAGTTTAAATCCTACTATTGACAAAATTTGAATATATATTTAGACTTTGAATTTTAACTAGTATAATAAACTTTGCTTGTTTCTAGAAGTTGTAACTCTGTAAGTTAAGTTATACTAAATTAACAAAATATTAGTAATATGACAAAGCACTTGAAAAATATAATATTATATGAATAAATCTTAATAGAATATATAGGTATAAGAGACCTACATAGTAGATATCTCAAGTAGATAAAGTAGTATAGCTTTCAATAGTTAAACTAACTAATATTTGATCTAAAATAAAACTTAAACTCTAGAAAGATGTAGATTAGACTAGGTATAAATAAGTCTAATCCACTGATTAATAACACTAACCTGGTATAGCAGCTAACTAGATTTAAGAAAATCTAATTTGTGAAATATTTGAATAAAATTAAAGCAGATACTAGTAGAGAGCTACACAAGAACTAGAGTTATATAAATACTAATAAAAGTAATTATAATTCTTCTAATTAAGTAAAGTTACTACAAATATAAAGAGCAGATCAAAATTTGAGATATACTTGTAAAAATTTGAAATAGTATTATATACTAGACTAGTAGTGATAATATGAAAAACAAAGATATACTAGTTTACTAAAATACTAAATATATAGTAATAATATATTAGTATTATAAAATCTATAACTAGAAGTAGCTTATATTGTGAAATATATTTTGAATTCTACTAATATATAGAAGTACTTGTAAACAGAAATTGATATATATATAATTTATATCTGATATTAAGTTTGGAGAAAATCTATATTCTAATAATACTATTAAAATGATCATTTAAATACTATTAAATTAAAAATAACTATAAGATTATAAATATTTCAAGTCTAGCAGTTACCAAATTATAAAGTATTTATAAGAAATATAGGAGATACAATAAATATAGCATAGTAGTTATACTTGAAAAAAAGTGATTATAGGAATTTAGATAATATATAGTTGTAGACTATAAACTATTCTAGTAGGTTTTATATAAAATAGATAGCATATATAAATATACTATATATCTTAAGCTTAATTTAGTATAGGTAAATTAGTTTAAAATTATAGTATAATAATTGTAATAAATAATTTAATTCGCAATAAACAAATTGAGTTAAGTACTTATCTTAATATCAAAAAAAAACTTGAAGTTATACAAATATTTACAAAGGTCTAATTTAGATAAATTTATAAAATAAATATAGACTACTCTAGTAGATTTATTTTAAAATTAACTAGTTCTGCAATATCTACAATATATTAAATATATTATATTTTAAGAGAATCTAAGCTATATAATAAATGAATTTGTAATAAGCTAGCTAGTAGATATTGTGATAATATTAGAGTTAGATCTGTATAAGTTAATAAATAGAATATTTAAATAGATAATTTACAAATAAGTTACAAATATAGCAATATAGTATAGAACTAATCAACTAGTCTAATATCTATGTAATGAATTACTTAAAATAGATAATAACTAAAGTTGTATATATAACTTGTTATATACTTTTAATATAATTACAAATAGCAAGAATTATCAATATATAATCTTACTAATAAAATACCTTTGACAATGTAAACTACTTTAATAACAAAAAAATTAAAAAAATTAAAATTTGAATTAGTTAGAGTTTAAGTTCAAACTAGTAATAGAATTAGAGTTAGAAAATATATATATATACAAAATTAAGAGCTAAAAACTTTTAATTAGAAGGTCTAGTTATTTTAGTGTAGTAATTAGATTATTTGATTATTATATAAGAGGTCTAGAGTTCAAATCCTACTATTGATAAATTTAAATAATTAACTAGACTTCTGTACTCAACTTATAGTAAACTTTGTTCATTTCTAGAGTTGTAACCTATAAATTATGTTGTACTAATGTTATTCAAATATTAGAAGTGTGATATAATGCTTGAGAAACATAATATTATATAAATAAAATTTAATAGAATCTATGAACAGGGGACCTGCATAGTAAAATCTCATGTTAAATAAAGTAATACAGATTTTAATAGTTAAACTAGTTAATGCTTGATCTGGTAGGAAAGTTCATATGTATATATTGTTGATCAAACAGATATATATAAGTCTGCTACAGTAGTACTAAATAGCTAATAATACACAATTCCTAATTAGCAGTACTAATCTAACTTGATAGCTAACTAGATTTAGAAAGATCTGCTTTATGAAATTTCTGAAACTTCAGAAGACTAAACAAGTAAAGACCTATAGAAGAAACTAAGTTTGTATGAATATCAACAAGAGTTCAATCTAGGTGAAACCTATGAAATGGGTATAAGCTACTCTAGTAAACATACTTATAAAATCAACTGACCTTGCAGATATATATTATGATAAGTATAATATATCTTGAGAGAACCTAAGCTAGTTTATAGATAATCTGTAATGAGCTAACTGACTTAAATAGTTAAGTATTGCAATAATGTTGATTTGGAATTGTATGAAACAGTATATTAAACAGAGTGTTTAAATAGGTAACTCACAAACAGATTACAGATATGACAACTTGTGTAGAACTACTCAGATGGTCTATGTAGTAGACTACTTAAATAGACAATAACTAAAATTGTATATGTGACTAATTGTATACTCTTCATGTAACTATAACAACAGAGATTACTCATGTTGTGACTCTGTATCCAAAAATTAATAAAATACTTCTGTCAAAGTAAGCTACTTTTTTTTTTTAAAAAAAAAAAAACTTTTATTATAATTAGAAGCCAAAACTAATTTATATAATAAAATTTTAAGATATTTAAAATTTTTAATTTTTTTCTAATTTTTGTTCGTTTTGTTATAAAAGATCTTGTGATCTAATTGGTCGGTCATATTAACTTGTGATATTTAACAACATTCTTCAAATAACAGATAAATATTTGAATTTGAATTTCTAAAATAACTATAACAAGATTTAATTATATAATATTAAAAATAAATATATTTTAAATTATTTATTGACTTTAACTAATTTTACTCTAGTTAATATAGTATCACTTCATTATAAAATTATTTAAATAAATAAATAAAATAAACCATTAGAGGTTAGAGTTCAAATTCATATTAAAGTTAGAGTTAAAAAATTTCTAATAGCGATGATTTAAACCGTGAAATATGTATGGTATATTGATATTACGAAAATATCGATCGATATATTTTTAGTAACAGGCAGGCTTAAAATAAGTAATCAACATTTTTATACTGTAAATCTGATTTGTCAGTTAATTTAATATCTGGTAAGATTTCCAGTCTTCATATTGCAGATGATTTAGACTGCTCAGGAATCACGGGAAAATGCTAATCTATTGTGTTACAATAATTGAATAAAAAGATATCGATACTTATTTAGAACAATGCAATAACCTGTAAATTTTTTTTGTGCGAGTTCGTACCATAAGAAATATCCCGTACGTACTGTTAAGAATATTTTCAATTAGGTGTATAACGTAAATTTTTTCAAAACATTTAAAGATTTTGTGCATAGATTGGTTTGCTAATAATTTCAACAATCGCAGTAAGTAAAATAGATCTCGAAAAAGGGGTACGTACTGTATGCAGTTTGCATGCCAAGAGGCAATCGTACAGTAATTTCCAAAAGTGGTATTTAGCAATCGTTTCTAAGCATAATATCATATAAGATTTATTTGATTGTACCAATATGATGACAAAGAATTTATAAATAGCCTCATATGTATCATTTATTCAAGTGAGACATTGTTATTGTTATACAATGCAACACTAAAACGGGAGACTTCATTGATAAACCTACGCCGTAAAACAAAAAAGAATAAATAGTCCCGTAAAAAGTGCACCATAAAAAATACCTTTCTTTATCTATTCCGGTTGCTTTTATAATATCGGTAAAGAAAGTATGTCACAGCAAGGTTATTACCCACCTCAAAATCAACAACCGTATTATCCTCCGCCTCCACCTCAAGGAGGATATGCACCACCACCACCACAACAGCAGGGTACTTTTTTTAAAATTTCTTCCGAATATTTCATTTTAATATTTGAAAAATATCTTACAAGTCAATTATTCTTTTAAAAAAATTATAGGATATTATCAACCAACTGTAAGAGTCCTTAAAGCATAATCTATCTGTGCGCTATTAATTATCAGTTATGTCAACACTGACACTAAAACCTTTGTTTAGCCACCACCTCAAGTTGTTGTACAGCAACCACCTCCTCAAAAAAAAAATAATGATGGATTATGTTTAGGATGGTAAATTAACATTCATAATTACAATATTTATTTAAAATATTTATCATTATAATCATTAATTTACACTTATTTCAATTTAGTGCTCTTGGTGCATGTTTATGCTGTTGTTTTGAAGAATGTTGTTAATATGAAATTCATCAAAAAACTCAAATGTTTCATAATCCAATGATATCGTCAATTCGTAATGTAATTTTTTTATCACGAATTTATAATTCAAAAAGAAACCATAAAATTTATATATGTAGATATATAAAACCTGGAGTTTTTTGTATATCTTTTGTAGTATCATGTGATATATATTTTACGCTTATTAATAATTCCTTTACAATATATAGATTTTGTAATTTGTCTCAAAATAAAACAATATTGGATATTTATTCGTTATGACACAATATCTCATTTAATGCTGAATAACGATCAATAACATATTTTGATTAAGAAATGATCAACGATATAAGTAATGCAATGCAGCATAAGATTGATGGAGCTAAGTTGTTTTTATTGGTTGATCAACAAATATTCGGATCGGATAGATAAAATTGATTTTTATGATAACAGATTTTACGTGAAATTCTAAACCTTTTATTAAGAAGTCAAAAATTCAATTGTGTACTGTACATACCAATATTACCAGAATCGCTTTTAATAAAATTGGTGTACTTCGTTTATACGATTTAACAAAAATTTTAGGTGGTAATTTATCGAAAATTATATTGTAAATAATATAAAAAAAATTAAATTGCTAGGTATATGTCTACATTGTAAATTCGTGGAGTCTTGTGATTTTTTTATTTAGAAATGCACTTTAGTAGAATTTCTAATTGAAAATATAAAAATATGTAGGCTCTATATTTCATTCAATAATGAATTGATAGCGTTAGTAGACACAAAACTTTGGAATAATTGTCAAATACTGTACATACACAATATATATTCATTTCGCTAGTTAACGTCAGTTCTGGTGATGATATACAAATTGCTTAAGATCTGGTTGAAGTGTATTTTCTCTGTAATCATTAAAATCTTTAATTAGAAAAACAAATTAGTTGTAGTTTAGAAGTAATTATTATATATGTATCTTTGTTGTAATGGCGGATAATAAATTCTAATCAACGATGAATAATACACAAAAGTACAGCCCTACCTAAGAATAGGTGACACAACATTTCTGCGCGATAGTTAAAGATTAGCCTGATTTAGAGTTAGGTTTTGTGTTATGTAAATTTTTCTAAATATATATTCTTCATGTGTAATTATCATAAACTGAGAATGCCAAAAGTCTAAAAGTAGAGTTAAGACCCGAACATCGCACAAGTGAAGTCGATATGAGCTTTGACAGACTCTCATTTGATTGGCCGGTTTTAAGTAGCGACTTCATTAATATATGGTGCCGGTGTTACCGTACTACTATCGTAACTTCGCCTAAACAATTAACATTCTATATACCTTATTTCCATTTCAGTTTAGTCCCTTATATAGATATTATTTATTCACATTGTAGTTGCCACCCAAATTTAGTACGTATAATATTCTATGTATAGCTCTATTTCTAATTATTTCTAGTTTTTGTGTTATTTAGATCTTTAGATAAACACGTTTGCTTAAAGGAAAATAGAATGAAATAGTGAAATGTCTTTATTATATTTATTAAAAAAGAGATCTATTCTAACATATATGTTTTGTTGTAGTAGTTTATTATTTATATAACTTTTTTTTTGAGACTTATCTATTTCTTTAAGGTTATTCTTATAATTCTTCAATTATAATAAAGATATATACTGGCATATCTAATATTGTTTACGCAGCATGGCATTCGAGTGTTTGAATTTTATTTGCACTAATAAGGCTACCCTAATTGAATTTGTAGTTTATATTACATTTTCACTTTTTTTTTAAAAAAAAAGGTTTTCAAGATGTTTATATATAGTAAAATTTTTTTCTAAAATTTTTTTCTAAAATGTTCTGTTTATTATAAAAATTTTCTGAAATAAGCTATAATCCTTATTCGTTATGTTATTTACTAAACTTTTTTATTTATTATAAGGAAGAGAAATAATATAAACTATTAAATTAAGTTAGAATAATCTAACTATTTATTAAACTAATTAAAAATGTTTTTAAGTATCTAAATTATACAATAAATGTCGCGAATTAACAAGAGTTTTGTTTAAGTTGAGGCAATCACGTGATTTTATTTAAAATTTTACACAATGTGAGAACTAACGTGAGGTTAGCTCCTAAAACTACAGAATATATAGACCCCAAACACTAAATTTTTCATCCTAAAAATTCTAACCCTGAACATGTACTGATTTCTAACTTTCTAACTCAAATATGACTGCAACATAGCAAATATTTGCAGAGGTGATGATATAGCAAAGGATAGCTGCAGAGGGGGTGAAAGAGGTGAAACTGTTAAACAGAAAAAAGTTAGCAAGTTTATGAAGTGTAGATAAGTATATTTTTAATTAAAAAGAGATCATTTTTTTTATTTTTTTAGATGTGATAAACTCTTTTTATAGAATAGTATACAGTACTTCTAGCAGATGTTTTAATAATAATGGTCTTATTATTATTTGTAATATTAACTACAGTTTTTAGAAGGTTCAGTAATCTTAGTATAGTGGTTAGGTTGTCAGACTACCATGCAAGAGGTCTAAAGTTCAAATCCCACTGTCAACAGAATTAAATAATTACTTAGATCTTTGTATTCAACTTATAGTAAACTCTGTCTGTTTCTAGAGTTGTAACTCTATAAATCATGTTGTATTAATATTATTTGAATATTGGAAGTGTGATGAAGCATCTGAGGAATGTAATATTATATGAATAAATTTTAATAGGATCTATAAACAGAAGACTTGCATGGCAGAAATCTTGAATTAGATGAAGTAGTACAGATTTCTACAGTCATACTAGTTAATATTTAATTTAGAAAAGAAAATCTACATATGAAAAGATCAGTAACTAGAATGTAAGTAAGTTTATTAAAAAATCTGTATATAAAAGATTAGCAAAATGAGTATGCATAAGTCTATTACATGAGGTTATATAGCAACATCAATTTGGCTTAGTAGCTAACTAGATTAAAAAAGATCTGTTTTGTATGATATCTGAAGATATAGATAAATTTTAGCAACATCAATTTGAGTAGTAACCAGATTTGAAAGAGCCTATTTCATATAATATCTAGAGGTATAGATGACTAACTTAGTAGAAAGCTATAGTAAGAACTAGGTTTGTACAAATATTGAATAAAGGTATATGCAAGCTAGATTAGAATAAAGTATAGCATAGTTGGGTTTCACAGTACCTATCAATTAGAAAGTTAGTGAAGAAGTATTTGAGATAGGTCTAGGTTTTGAATTATAAAGTTTGTAGACATATATTAGCTCTATTAATATCTTCTAAAAATAGAAGTAGTATAGAGTTAGATAAATTTAAGTAAAAAAAGAATAGAATATGAGTAAAATAGTATATAGTCAGAGGATTTAAATAAAGAATTTTCAAATAAATTTCAGGTATAGTAGCTAGTATAGAACCTTCAGATAGACTACTTAATTAGATAATCTAAAGTTTATATATAGCTAGTTATACTCTCATAATATGTAATCATTTCTCACTATCAATACTAATAAAAATTTAGCTAATACTATTTTGTATAAAGTATAAAAAAAAACTAAAGTTTTAGTTTCATTAAAAGTAGGTTATAGTTTTTATTTTCTAGTTATAGAGTTTATATCAGTATTAGAGGCTATAGTAACTAATTAACTAGGCTCATAAAGATTCATAAAGCAGTAAATATTTGAATATTTAAGCATATACTTTTGAAATTTTTCAAGTTTATTATTAACTTTATTATAAATTATAGAGATCTTTTTTAAATGACTTTCTACTACTTGAGATATTGTTTGCATTTCCTATACTTCTATTTCTTGAATATTGTTGAGATTGAATTGCTAATATATTTCAAGAAGCTTATATCTAAACATCACTTCATAGAGAGTTTTATTATAAGTACTATATTGAGTTGTATTATAAGAAAAAATAAGCTTTAGTAAATTATCTTTTCAATTAACATTTTGCAAATAAAGTTCTTCATTTTATATTATTTTTGTAAATCTATATCTGATTGTTTAGTTTAAATATTCAACTTGCCTTTGCAATATCAAATATTTTGAGTAGCTATATCTAATTATAATTTTAAGAACTATGCAGATATGTTTAATAATATTAGCAGTGAACTTCTTCTTATTATTAGATTGTAAAATAAATAATTCATCTCATTATGCAAATAATGATATTAATACTTTATTAATAATATTAGCTTCTTTTGTTTTGAGTAAAATAGTTCACAGAAATTTTGAAAAGATACAAACTATAGTAAGAAGTTAGAAAAACCTATTATTCATATCTTTATATGCTGTAAAGTTAATTAAATCAATTTGGAGGTGTTCTGTTAAACTGCAGCTTACAACTAGAGTTAGATTATTTTTTTCTTAGATTGAAGTAGTTTGATTACAGGTATTATAGTTTCAAACATACTTATTAACTTCTTTTTTTATAATACTAATATGATGTATTATAATTTTTTTGTAATAATCTTTTGTATTAATATAGTAATTATTATTATAGAATTATCTAAACAAAAATAGATAAAACTCTAAATTCTATACAGATATATAATGCTAAAGTAGCTAACTACTAAGTTAAACATAAAGATAGTTGTTTTCTAATTGCTAAATCTTTATTTTATGTTTAAAATTCTAATGATATTTTGGTTTTATAGAGAAGAGTATAGTTCTGTCTCGAAAGTAGATAATAATATTTCAATATATTTTTAATAATTTTGAAAAATTGATTTGTAAACTATCATACAATTTTTTTTCTGTAATATTGTAGATAAAGATGACTTCAATTTTTTAACAAAGTCTTTTTTTTTAATTATATTTATAATTACATAAAAGTATTACTATTATTACAGTATATTATTAAAAATATAATAATAATGATTGTATAGGCTCTACAAGCTGTATTGTAAAGTTATAAACTTTTTTTTTTTTTTTTTTTTTTGTTTTTTTTTTATTAAAGATGGTCCAGCGCGAGCTTTTGTGTGTGTTTGTGTT